CTCTGACCTTAACATGAAGACTGTGAGCAGATTTTATTTTGTTCCACTTGCAGATGCAGAAATTAGTTTCTAATTGTCCAAAAGATAGAAGACAAAAATGCTGCTTTTGTAAATAAAAGAAACATGTTAGCATGATTTAAATGAGAAATAAATTTTACTGACCTTACTGACATTGTAAAGAAAAACAAATTTCTGTAATAGACTGTACAAAAAAACCACCATTTGTTATTAAATTTATTATCTGCTACTTAATTACTTTGTAGTACCTCTTTGTCTTTGGGGAGCTCTTATAGCAGAAAAGCTGTATGAACTAAAAAACAAAAATACCCTCTCCTAAAACTTTTGCGAGATCTCGCAATACTTTTGCGAGATCCCGAGTTTGTTTTGCGAGATCTCGCAAAAGTCCGTCTTAATTTATTTATTTTTTTCTCCCTAATTTTTTTTTTCTCCCTAATTCTTTTTTTTCTCCCATGTCCCCTGCGGGGCTCCGTAGGAAGCAGTTTGGAACTGTGAGAGTAAAATTATTAAGCTTGGGTGTGTTAATAATGGTAATTGTTATCGCACTGAAATTATTTAGTTAGCATACTTGTCACAATCCACGTCTAAACTAAACTACTAAAACCGGAAGGTTTCTTCCTGTTCAAAGGGGGCTCTTCCTCCCCACTGTTACCAAGTGTCACAGAGGTTTGTCTGACTGAGCTTATTTTCTGTCTTTGCAAAATAAAACGCCTCAAGGCAACTATTATGTGAACTGGCCGTATATAAATAAACTTGAAAACTGCAAATTTGATCATTAAAAATGATCCAGAAAAATTATTTGTGATGTAGAGATGTTTTACATGAAAATGAATTGAGACGGCAAGTAGGAAGTGTTGATGTGGGGCTGTGACACAGCTTAGAGCATTTATGTAACTCTAGCACTGAATTTTAGGTATTACCAGTCTTTTAAAGGTGTACATACACTCACCATCCAGTTTATTAGGAAAACCTGTGCCATCTAATCTAATTCAGTACAACAGAAAATTGTTTTCAGTTCTCCTTCCCTAGATTATTAACGTAGCAGTGTGGGGTGGTGGTGGTTTAGTGAAAAGTGTGTCTGTGTTTGGTGTACGCCTCATTAACGTTCTTGGCACAAGACTGCACGGGTGGTCCTAATAAAATCCTGGTTTAGGCACACTTTCAATAAAAAGACACAAAAATCTCTATCGTTTAAAAATGTTATTGTAGTTTTATTGTTATCTTAATTTTCTGGCCAGCTGGAGCCTTTCAGTCTGGAGTCTGCATGCTCTCCCTGTGACTGTGGGTTTCTTTCACCTTCCTCACATAGACTTACCTGTTAGGTTAACTGGTGATTATAAATGGGCTGTAGCATGGTTGTCTCCAGAGTGTCCACAAACACAATGGATGGAATAGTTTTGAGTGATGATTTTTACATTTTACAGAAACATTTGTTTCTTTTTTTGTGCTTCTGAGATCATACTCACAGCTTAATTTGCGCAAAAAACAAGATTCTGTGTGCATGTGTTTGAGACATGGACTGTTTACATACACCCAGATAAATATATAAAAAGTAAAAAAGAGGAAAAAAAGTATACAAATATTTCATTATAGTGCTGCGAAAAAGTATCTGTTCAACTCCTAGTCTCTTTTTTCTTTGTCTGTCTTTGTTGCACCTGCATGTTTCAGATCATCAAGCTCATTTTGTTTTACTTAAATTGTTTTGGGTATTTTTGTAAGATTTAATTTATTAAGGGTGAAAAGGTACCTAAACCTACCTTTTTTTCTTTTCTTTTTTTTTAAACATACTAACTGCCTCCTAAACTAATAACTGGTTGTGCTACAATAGGCTGCAATCAAGAATTGTAGCCATCCAGAGGTGGACTTGCTGCTGTGTTTTGGTTCATTGTCCTGCTGCATACCCAGAGTTTAAGCTTGAGCTCATTAACTTTTTGTTTGACTTTCTTCTTAAGCATTTTCTGGTAAAGAGCAGAATTCATGGTTGCATCAATCCAAGTCATCCATGTCCTGAAGATTATCACACTACCACCACCATGTTTGATGATGTAACTGGACTCACAATTTACAAAAAGTGCAACTTTCACTCGTCAGACCACAGAATATTTTCCCTGAAGTGTGGGGCGTCATCAGTATGATGTTGTGTTTTGTGTTGTTGGGGGGTTGACGGTGAAATGAGCCTCTGTGTTCTTTTTGGTCATCGCTGGTTTTCTCCCATGGGTGCCATTGATTCCCAGTCTCTTATTGTTGAATCATGACCTCTGACCTTAACATGAAGACTGTGAGCAGATTTTATTTTGTTCCACTTGCAGATGCAGAAATTAGTTTCTAATTGTCCAAAAGATAGAAGACAAAAATGCTGCTTTTGTAAATAAAAGAAACATGTTAGCATGATTTAAATGAGAAATAAATTTTACTGACCTTACTGACATTGTAAAGAAAAACAAATTTCTGTAATAGACTGTACAAAAAAACCACCATTTGTTATTAAATTTATTATCTGCTACTTAATTACTTTGTAGTACCTCTTTGTCTTTGGGGAGCTCTTTATGAGCAGGAAAAGCTGTATGAACTTAAAAAAAAAAAATTAATACGTACAATTTCTAAAGCCAGATTGGAGTCTTTGCTGGGTCCCGAGCCTTGTGTTTGACACCCCTGGCTTAGAGGAACAAACGGTTCTGTTGTTTGTGCAGTTGTGCTTGTATTGTCGCACCTTTTGTATAATCCTGAAGCCTTCTTTAACACCGTGGTTCAGGTGGAGTTGAACATACCACAGCCTGCTTCTGATTAAAGACACAAGACACACAACCACTGTAGCTGCAGATGCCTCCTAGCTGAGTCACCTGGACACACCCCTCACCTGCTGCACCCTCCCCAAAGAACTGAATAATCATGGAAAACACATCCTGAGGGAGGCTGGGCGCGTCAGTGGATCCTTCAGTGACTCAAGGCTGAAGATATACGAGGTTTACAGTTTATAATCTGCTCAGGTTTCACTCCAGAATCTCCCCAGGTCCCTTTAGCACATCATCGCAGCTCATAAAGTTCACACGTGTTTGCACGCTGCCGTTTCCAACATGGAAACTTTGTAACTGGAAGCAAAGCAGCGCTCATTTGTCAACATTTCATCTGCGAAGTTAAAGAAACAACAACACAACCTCACACTGAAAATATTCACTTCTCTGGCTTCCTCGTGGCTCCTTATTACTGATTAATGTGTCTCAACTAACCTCTGTTTTGTTTGACTGAGGCCCAGAGTTCAGGGCAACAACAGGAGTTATAGCGCCATCTGCAGGCCAACTTTGAAAATGACGAAAAGCAGTCTTTTCACCAAGTTTCCTTTAAGTGACTACAAGTAAACGATAGGAAAACACCAAACTGTCCGATTTATTTATTGTCCCTGAATAATGAGGACAATTTATATATAAAATTACAATAATTTGATTGTAGTTTGAGTTTTTATGCTTTTTTAAGCTTCATTTGTGACAGCAGCTATATAATCATTACGCACTGTTGTGATATTTTTAATTTTAAAAATGCTTGGCATGGACTGTGGAAAGCTGTGTGCAGTCATTTATGTGTTTCTTAATCATTGTAGCTTTTGATTTTATTGTAATTTGTCCTTTCTCACTCACTATGTGTTAATAAAGCTCTCTGCACTGAGTCATACAAAAGACATGGTGTGGAAGAGAGCCAGAGATTAATAACATCTCTGGCTCTCTTCCACACCATGTCTTTTGTCCTGTCTTACTCCCCTTACCGGTCACAGCAGATAGCCGCCCCTCCCTCAGTCTGGTTCTGCTGGAGGTTTCTTCCTGTTAACAGGACGTTTTCCTTCCCACTATGGCCAAAGAGCTTGCTTATAGGGGGTCATGATTGTTGGGTTTTCTCTGTATTTATTATTGTAGAGTCTATCTTACGATATAAATCACCTTGTGGCAACTGTTGTGATTTGGCACTGTATAAATAAAATTGAAATAGAATTAAAGCCAGACGTTGTATTTGATGACTTAAAACACACAAATTGAATTTTATTTAATGTGCAGGAACTTGTTTCTCTCTGCAGGATAAATATCCATCTGTCATCGCTCTCCCTGGAGGCCCCAGGTCAGAGGTCATGACCCTGAACCACCCCAAGCTTCCCGGGCAAGAACTCTCATCATGATCCAGCACAGTCAGAAAAAAATGCAGCTGTCTGTAATGCAATGTCATCTTTTTTTCTTTTTGGTTTACAGCTGTATGTTATTCATTCATTGGTCAGTTGACGTTTCCAGAGAGGGCGTTGTGACGCCAAAGATCAACCTGCTCACAAAGATCCCAGAGAGAGGTGAGCTGGTGATCCTGAGCTCTGCAGAACTGACCCTTTGGCAAACACTTTAAGTGTTTTCTTACCTTAAAAGTCAGAGAGTGCTCTCAGCATGTTTAATGATCCTGAGTGAGAAAATAACATAACGTCCACGCAGAAAATGTAACCCAGAGATTAGTTGCAAATCCAATGTCATGACTATTCTGCGCTCATTTACTAAAAAAAAAAAATAAATCCTCGTTCAGTGATTACACTTAATATTATTACTCAGTTTAATAAATAATTAGTTTATGCACCACTCAAATATCACAGAAAACTGCAGTTTGGTTAAGCAAAACTCATTTTATTCATCCGACAACTGATTTTTTCCACTGTGACATTTAACTTTACTCCCTCTGATTATCAAATCCTGCAGTTATTTCTGTCAGTTAAGCTCATAGTTTCGGTTTTGTGATCTTTGTGTTTCTGCAGCTCTCCAGCTGTTCCCTTCTCAGGCTGTAGGCGGTGCTGCTGAAGCCTTTGAGAGCCTGCTGAGGATTCTGGGACCTGAAGCTGCCCTGGAGTCCATCATCCAAGCAGTCAGCCTTTCACAGGAAACTTAAAACAGAAACCTCCAATATAATATTTTTTTCTTTCTATTTAGATTAATGTCACAGAAATGAAGGACAGCGAGAGTTTAGTCTCTTAGAAATCTTTATTTCAATAGAAAGAGCACGACTGTAACAGCAGAGCTCACGGGTCAAAATCTACAAAAATAAATAATTTAAATACAAAATGCCAGACAGCAGTGTCACCTTTTGTATTTCTGATAGTTTGTCTTCTCTCAGCTATTTACACAGTTATTACAAGTCTGTCGGTATCACAGTGCTGTGATATTTCTGCAGGCCAACGCTCAGACAGCAGCAGGGCTGCGGCTCACGGGTGAGACAAAGCGGTCTGGACACGGTTAGAAGGTTGTTTACAGACCGAAAAGTATGATTTTTACTTCACACCGAGGCCATCGATAAATGCAACCTCGTCCAGTGGTTATAGTGTTAGTTCTCTTCTTTAAATCTTACAACAAAAATAAAAATTGGGCAGTTATGAAAAGCTGAAAGTTTGTAGACAAACTGCTGTCCGTTAACGCTTATTCACAGACGCAGCACTGAAGCTCGATCTTAAAACAAACATCAGTGGCTGCTAGAGGGGCGAGAAAGTCATCAGACAGGCACATGTAGTTGGTCAACGGTTGTGATCCCAATTAATTTAACCTTCATGTGAGTGGAATTATTACTGGTGCCAAGTGTCTCCAACCACTTCACACTCGAGCTGAACTAAAGAGTGAAAAATGAGAACTTTGTAGTGAAAATGAATGCAGAGGGTAACCGTTTATTCCCGATTATCTTTTCTTCTGCATTAGATGGAAGCCCAAATTACTCTGCTCAGGTCTACTAGAAAGATCTGCCTGACATTCAGTTCTCGATCCTGTGGAGATGCAGAACTTGCTCTGCATCAATGGAAGAGGTATACATGTGTAGGTGTCCGGACACTCCTCGATCTCACCGCGCTCCGCTGCCCTGCCTGCCTGGGGCGTCTTCATTGCAACATTTAAAACGATCAGTGGTTGGTTCAGTTCACTGCTGTCCACTCTCCAACCTTCAACTTCTCCTCCTCCCAAAAATCCAGGTGTGTGTCAAAGGGAGCCGGACTTTGATTGAATCCAGCTTAGTGTTTGGATTTAACAGAATTTCTGATAGGCGATGAGGAGGAATGGAGTGTGGAGGACTCTTAGTGTGATTCATTTTCAGACTGGCTGATGGAGGCATCTGAAGGTGGAGAGTGGAAGCAGGAAGTGAAGTCAAGTGTTACCAGTTTATCTGAAGCCTGTTGGCACTGCTGGAAAACCTGCAGCGCTCCTGAACACATCATTACTCAAACGTCACATGACCCTGTCGAGATTCTTCAGGAGTTTGAGGTACTGAGAGTTCATGGCTGCGTCCATGGATCGCCGCCGCTTGAACGCAGCCTGTAACAGTTTACTCACATGCACCCCCCCTCAGCTTCCAGTCCTACCAGAACATTTAGGCACATGGATGCACACACAGACAACAAGAAGCCACTTATGGCACAAAAACCAGCAGCAGCATGAAGCTCAGCTTGTCAGAAGAGTAATTTTTATTATAATTATTATTATTACCCAGCAGCCTTTGCAACTTTCCCCTGCTTCACATTGAAACCCTGAACACCCCCTCTGTGCAGCCGAGAGGCCACACAGAGCTTCATTTGCAGACTTGAATTAAATCTATGCTGCAGAGTAACATGCAACGCCTTGGAAACATCACTAACAGCAGGGGTTCAATGACTGGGCACTAGTTTGTGGATGCTGGTTTACTTCATTATAATGGAAACTAATAATATTTTATTTATTAGTAAAGTTAAGGTAACATTTCTGCACACCAGCTGCATTTCTAGTCAAAAACAAAAAGCTGACATTGACAGGAAGTGCTCTGCACTTCACAACATGAAGGTATTTCATGCCAGCAAATTTTCTTTACATTAATGAGGTTCTGTCCTGGTCCTGCGGTAAATCTATAGTTATAGATGTATTTGTCATTTTATTTATCACAGATAAATGACTGATTCTGAGTGTCTCTTTACTGAACTCAGGTATTGGATCAATACCTGCATGGCATGATATCAATATCCTAATTAAATGCACAGTGCATGCTTTCCTGGGTGGACAGACTTAAATGTTTGTCAAGTCTTTGAGTGAAATTCAGTAAAAATCAAACTACAGACTTTAAAGAGGGAAACATGCCACTCATAGAATCCTGAAACTGAGTATGGCAGAATTAAAGGTGGTGGTAATATAGAAATATAGTTTCTTTTTAGCATGTTAAAGCTTATTTTGGTGTAAAGCTGGAAAAGCAACAGATTGGTGACTGTACACATGCATGACTATGTGTTCAGAAGTATTATTGAGAAGCAAGACTCGCTTCAGCAAAGGAAAAGTAATCATTGTTTACTTTCTCTTTATGATCACATCATTGCTATAGTGAATGACTCATCTCATAAATTCAGCTTTCAGCTCAGTTAAATCGCAGCACTCAGACTGAATGAAAGACATGCTCTGTGTATGATCACACGCGTGATGATCATGCATCAGTGTCTCCATCCGATGACAGAAGAGTCTTGAGTCCACGTTACGAGGACGCTGAAGTTCGAGGTTTCTGTATTTCTACAGAGCAACAATTAGTTTGAATGTTAGAATGAGTGAAATGCAGCAGTAATGTGCTTTCAGCTCAGGTAAAGTGACCCTTTGAGGTACAGCGGGGCCTTTATCAGAGTACATCATGAAGCTCAGTGTTGCTGACGCAGTCTCATCAGACTGTAGACTGAATCCGTTTTGCTAACTTTTTTCCATTTTCTCAGACACGATATTATTTTTAATCAAACAGTACCATCCAGACCTTTGTTTTACTCCTCTTATCCTGTATAAAAGACCGACTGTGAGCATCAACAACACAACTTTACTGGAGTGGAGGCAGAAATGCAAGAGATCACCTCTCTGATAAATCTAGTTAAACTTTCACAAGAGGACACATGTACCAAAATTAGCACACATACTCTTGTGAGTCCATTTTTATGAAGCCAAATAACAATTTGAAAATGAAAGTGGCTCCAGAGTGACATGAACACAGCTTTTTGCTTGTATCCACTTTGAAAGGTTTGTGTTGCGGCTTGACCTTTCATATATTTAGCAGATTAAACCAATGGGGGTTTGGGACAAACAGGGAGGCAGCGTTTTGCTTATGACCAAACACCACGCCACCTCTTTCAGCACGGAAGCAAAGCCTGCTCAGAAGCAAAGCCTGCTCAGAATCAAACCTCAGACCAGTGACATTAAAGCAAAGCAGAGATCCTCACCTCCTCTCTCTCAACATCAGAGGACAGCCACGCCCACATTCATGAACTGACATCAGCCCAACAACCTGCTTCTCCATCACTTCCCCTCTTCTCTGTCTTCTGCAGCACTGCCACATGCGGCAATCTGGAGGTTAATTCTTAACTGTCACCATACGCTTTGTTAAAGCAGGAGACGCTCTAATAAAGCATGACAGATGTTCGAATTCACCTCCCGATGGGGGCGATACAAATGCTCTTGTATCAGTAACACAAACACCTGGAAGTCACTCAAATATCTGGTTATTCAGAGGTGACCTCGTGCAGAGCAGCAACAGAAGTGCAGTGAGGAGCTGCAGCTCTGCGCTGAGGGTGGTCAAAATCCCACCAACACTGCGTCTCCTCTTCATCAGAGGCATCAGGGCCACAGTTATCCTCCTCTTCAGGACTCAGACTGGGCGCTCACATGGGGTGGAAGAGCAGCGTGCAGTCCTCCTTCTCTCTTAGAGGGCCCTTTGGCAAGGCACCGCCAGTCCTCAGATAACAGGTGACAATTTTCTGGTCCAGGCGCAGCTGGCGGGGGATGCTGTCAAACGGCTTCGGGTCCAAATCCAGGATGGAGGCTGAATAGGAGAAAGCAGGAGGTCTGAAGTCCCTGAGCTGCCTCTGACTGGAAAGACTGGAGGAGACAAGGAGGAGGATTAGAAACAGAAAGACAAGCTGATGGCGCCACCTGCTGGACTCTCTAATACACAGTAGTGTTGATCTTTCTCAGTATTTTATTTTCACATCTGTAAATCAAAGGACAAACCTGTGAAGGAGCTTCCTACTCCAGACCTCTGTGCTGAAAACTCAACGATGCATTCAAGAGTCAATTTTCTTTTTTTGTTCATTACTAAATGAACAGTCTAATTAAAGCTGTCATTGACTATTATTCATAGATAAAGTACTACAACTAAACCCTGATGTGAATCTGTGCACATGAACATCCTCAAGTAAACAGAGCCATCAGCGATTCTTATAAAAGACACTTTATGCATTCCTAGTGCCAACAAATGCACAACATTTCGTCCAGCTGTTCGTTGTTGTTTTTTGTTTTTTTTAATCTTTTCACATGTTTAACATGTTTTCAAACTCACTGATGAGGAAACTCTCAATCCAAGCGTCACTGTTTCACCTACAGAAAAGATTTTTCTACTTGCACAGCTGAATTCTCACCTTTCATTGTCCTCTTCCTCCTCACTGCTGGGCACCAGGGCGACCATGATGGAGCAGTCCTTGGCTGTCATGGCCACACGGTACTGGTGCACCTACAATAGAAACACAGCAGGTAGAGCTGTTAGAATATCGTTATGTAGGCAGGACTTTTGTTAAGTCAGGTAACACAGATTCACCGTCTCCAATGAAAGTGAAACTAATCACACAAAAGTAGGAACTCAATCCCCAGCATCCAGTTTTGTGCTGGGAAAAACTTCACAGCTGAATCGCTGTCGTGTCTCAGTAACCACATTCATGTGATGACACGCTTTATGAAACTTAACGACTAAAACCAGGGACACGCCCGCTACATTCATTATTTGTTTCGGTTATTTTATCTCTAAAGTCTAGTTCATACTCCAATATTACAATAACGAATATTTAAAACTAAACTGTTGGAAACACTATAGTGAACGTGGTGTTGGCATGCACGTCTCCTCATTTTACTCAGCAAACATGTAGGTAAGTGTATTTCCATACTGTCATTTATCATGACATTTTTGCAGTGCTCTGGTGGGAGAAGCCAGAGACAATGATAGTGATGGTACTCTGCACTGAGTGATTAATGGAGCTGTAATGCAGTGTCACTTTGCACATGCACAGGAGGAGGTTTGGAAGCAAAGCTGACATTACTGAGACAACTTCTACTTCCAAAAGGTCAAAACAACACCTTGAGTACACAGAACGACTTGCTTCAGACACCTTTGAGCTCAGAGTCGTCGCAGATACATCTGCCTGAGTTTTCCTCTCACCGTGCAAAGACATGCGTGACTGTATATCAGCTGTAAGTGTGGCTGTTCGAGCTTGTAGTGGTCCCGTCTCCACCTGATAGTCTGGCAAGATTAGGTTGTATATCACGTTTCTGCTCTCTGGTCCTTTCTACTTCTGTGTTTCATTTTCAGTAAAGCATTTTGGTGGCTGTTGTTGTTTTAATGTGAAACTGATGCAAACAGTGCACCAACACTCGTCTCCAGGGCTCTGACCTTTGCAACAGCATACTCCACAGAGCCGTCGTCCTCTGCCGGACATTTCTGCAGCTTCTCCAAGAACGCTTCGTTGTACGGTCCTTCTATCTGAAGACGGGTCCTGGCATAAACAGGAAGTGATGTAAGAGACCAGGCAACCAAAGTTTATTTTTCCCAGTTTAAATTTTCCTTCAATAACAGGGGGTTACCTCTCTTTGGGAAAGTCCTGCAGGTGTTGCTCCACCTGGCGGTAAAGAGGATAAAGTCCTTCGATGTCCAATGTGTCCAACATTTGCGTCTGAAGGATCCTGAACAAAACACTGTCGTTGGGTAAACCTCGAGAACCTGGAAACACAGACGTGTTCAAAGGAAGGTCACAGTCTGTTCTCATCAGGTCTAATATCAGGGTTTATAAAATTTTAAGTCGCAGCATAAAAAAAAAAAAAAAAAAGCGAGTCAGGTTTTTCTGTTTTGCACATTTACATAATCACATTCAGATGTTTGTGCCGAGAAAACAATCACTGCTTTCAGTCCAAAGGTTTCTGAAGGAGGCCGTCACAGCTGCACAATCTCGTAACACCGTATTACACCAGCTGTAATACTAAAAGTGCCAGTAATTTAATTTTGTTATTTTTGATAAATAGTTGAACTGATACCAAAATGACTAATGACTAATCCTCGGAGTGTAGCTAAATTAAAACACAACAGGCTGCACTGCTAGCAAGGCCACAAAATAAAATAAAAATCAGGCATGTGATTAACACGGGAATGGTGGGACTGCTCCAGCTCTGTGGATGAAAACTAAAAAAAAAAAAAAATAGTGTTGATAATGTTGGACTACTTAAGATCAGTGAACCCGTCTGCACCCCAAAAGAAAAGAAAGGTCCTGACCATGGCGAATCCTCTCTTTGTTGAAGATGCTCGCCTCACAGAAACTCCGCCCCTCCGCTTGTCTGTCCGCCACCACACCGCCATCTCCTCCTCCACTGCTCAGCAGGGCATTCACCAGGACCTGCAGACAACGGGTGGGGGGTCAGCATTTTAAAATCTCGAGGATGGGATTTATAAACTGTGTGTACTGTACATTAAAAAGAAAAATGCTCATACACAATAAATCTCCATACTGCTGAAAAATAAAGCTCGTTTTTTTAAGGCACACACACAACAGCACACCCTTTTAAATTAAATCCTCCTTTAAAAGGTAAAAAGTTTCAGTTCTGTTCATGCTGAACTTTATGAATTCCTGCATACTATGCTGTTAGTCTGTATGTAATGAATAGTCCCAGTGTAAGACTGCAGCAGATTTATTCAGGTGTGCCTTTACCTGAATGAAGTCGTTCAGGACTGCTTTGCAGGTCACGTGACTGTTCATTCGATTGTTTGCGTGTAGGAAGTAAGGTCTGAGATGATGCAGCAGAGAGTTCATGTCCGGCGATTCGTCGCTACCTTCCTTACTGCTGTAAATACACTGACCGCCCTGAAAAAAAACACACACACACACACTTACTTTACTGTGGCTGCTTAAGTGACCTCAGATGACACAGACCTGATACCGACTGTCCGGTTTTCTTTATTTCAGACATTTTGAGGATGAGTTCATGAAAACACGAGGCCAAAGTTTTAACCAGCGATGCTTGTGGTGCATTTAGAAGTTGGATTAGATCAAACTCTTTTTTCTGTTACTGCATTTTGAGCCTTTTCCAATGACTTCACCTCCATCACACAATTGTTCTTAGAGAGGCGTGCCCTCAGCTTACATTTCCTGTTCGTTCACAGTGATGTGCTCCAGGCTTCTTTCACCTTTTGATCTATTGATCTCTCACAGTGAAAGAGTAAACACGCTCATCACAGTCAGCATAAATATTTAGAAAACAGGATATTATTTATGTTGAAATAGTTCCAAGGTGAAATTCCTAGAAGTAAAAACAAGGCCGCATAAAAACAAAGACTTCAAGTTAAACATGTATGAGTGTGACTGAACTCACCTTGAATACTTTGAAGTTGTTCTGAGGTTCTTCTATCAGGTGTTTGATGGCAAAATGCATTCTCTGTCTGTTCCTACAACAAACAAAACAACAACAACACAGAAATAGAAGCTTTATTCTCAAGAGCTGGATCTGCAGTACGGAAAATAAACGTCTGCATGTTAGGAAGACGCTGAGGTGTTGGGGTTGGGTTAGCTCAAGTCGGTTCACTATTCCATTTAATTAATAAAAACACACTTGCTCTCTCACGTTATCCATAGTCACACCCACACATAGAACAATCAGAGAAGTGTAGCCACAGTTATAAATGTTCAAAAACATTTGTCTTCCAGCGGCAGACATTTTTTCTGTGAAGTGAATCAGTGACCTTTTGTTTGCTGTTTTCGAGTAGGACCTTGTTTTAAAACCAGCTTCTTTAGTTTCAAAGAGACACTAGGAGACCTTCCCAAAGTCTGACCTGCACAGTGGTGCTGGTTACCACGATAAACATCTGTGAACCGAGTAAGTAAACTGAGCTTACTCTGCAATAACTTATCAGTAATATGGCCATTTAAGTTTCTTATTAACAAACTGCATGAATTAGTGCAACTTATAGTTTAGGTGTATGAGCAGAATTCAGGTGAGGGGGCACAACAACGTTATTGGGCGACCTGATAGAGGCAAGTGTGGGCACCTCCATAAAAGCAGAGGTTTCATCACTTTCCTGGTCTGGAGCATTCGGGCTCCTGTTACAATCCACAATCTTCCAGGAGTGGATATCCCAGCAAAGTCACCGTGAGGTCAGAGTGTGCAGAACACCCAAGAGCTAATCTCAGACTCCACAGGCCTCGCTTAGCACGCTAAATGTTGAAGTTCACGACTGCACAAGTAGAAAAAGATTCAACAAGTCAGCCTGTTTGGAGGCCTCGCAGGGAAGAAGCAGCTTCTCCCTTATTTACAACTTTTTCACTACAATTAATTATTTTTTTTTGTCCCCGACAAGTAATGATGATTTTAATCACAAAAAATGACTCAATTACTGTTAATGTCGCTTGTTGTTCAAGCAATTCACTTTAACGTTTCTTTATCTTTATTAGTTTTTTTACTGCACAACAAATTAGGAGGTTACTCCCATGGTTTAAGCTTTTTTACCCTCCCATACCCACATTAAGAAAAATCAGCAGGTTTGGCGTCAGGTCAGAGATGTAGAAAAATGTGAGAGGAAAACCACGTGTACTCTGAAATGTCAGGCCCATGTGTGTGACTAATGTTTAGACACTTCATCACACAGTAAACAGATCAACACAAGGAATTTTCCATCCAAAGCCATCATCGTGCAAAGCCGGCATCATCAGCTGTCACGGGCCCACATTTCAACTCATCAAAATATCAGCCCATGTGTTCACCCTTCACTTCATAGCACACGAATTTCTGATAAAGGGCCTGATAAAGTCTTCGTAGCTGTGGCCAGATGTTTTCCATCCATCACGTCAGGAATATTAAACAAAGTGGGGACGCGAGCATCCAATCAGGAGTGCCACAGTGTTATTCAGCCGCCCTTTCACACAGCTGCTCCAGACCACAACATGAGCGGCACAGATAACACACTTCAACAAACACCTCACAAACAGGACTGGCTGCACAGTGAATGCATCATTCCACTTCAACTGTGAGATAACCAAAGTATTTTTCCTTCACTTTGTGTTACTGCAATGTTTGAAGAAAACATTGAATGGCATTGAATGGTAAATGACACTAAAGGCAGCTGTGTCTTAAACGCTGCAGAGTCTCACCCTGAGAACAGGTCGAGTGGACAGTAAAAACTGCGTCTCTTCCACTTCCCGTTGGCCACCTGCAGACACAGAAGAGTGGAGAAATGTCAAACAGAGAGAAGCAACACAGAAACAGCAAACATCTGTCAGGTGCGGGTTTTCATGGGGCTAGACTAAATCTAGTCCTAAACTTTTGATGAGATCAACCTTCAGATTTTTATTAACATGTGTTTTAAAAGTTAGTGAGCGGTTTTGTTCTGGGTTTTTTTTTTTTTTGCTGTTTTGTCATTTGAAGGATGGTGGTCTTTGTAAATTTGTTCTGAAGTGTGCAATATGAACTGCCACCGTTCTTTGTTCTGCCGGTTCTGTTTCTCTTCTAAGACGGCGTGATTGACACTCCTGCTTTAAAAACAGGTCTCTCGTCATTTAGCAATTTAGAGCAGAGACTCATTTCAAGAATCTAATGATCCAGAAAGGCCCAACTTTGGCAGAGAGGATGGGACCTGGGATAGATAAAATTCCTTCTCGTCTTGTAGACCGGAGGTAAAAGGAAGCAGTTAACCGTTAAAAAGACTGTGACGGGTCGTACAACTGTAAAAGAGCATGAATACATCATGTCAGTGCTGAGTGGCAACATTCAGCGATCATCTGTTTTCTTCAGTATCTTGCTGGCTGCTGGTAACCACTGAGAGGAGGGACGGACTTAATTTCTATTGTTTGCCTTTTAGAAAGATGTAGACTACCAGAAACCCGTTCCCCAGCACCTCATGGCACTTCCTGTATCCATGTGCTTCAGTAGTAACACTTTGAAAGTGATATGGGGTAGCTTGGAATAACGGGCCTTTGTAAGTGAACAACAGACTGATTGACCGCCAAACAAAGAACAGAATACAAAATCATTAGTCACAAGTGAGAAACAGGACTGAAATCTTCATAATCAATAACTGACCCCAAAGAGAAAACTGAACAGTTTTATAGAGCTTAAAAGGACCGAGTTACTCTATACTTCAAAGTGAGCTCGCATTTTAATTCTAAGAAAACTAAAAATCTATTTTAAAACTTGCTTTTCTCAGTATCTGTAGACCTCAGTGTGTGCTACCTTTATCTATATGCTATCACTCCATGCTGAAACAGAACACAGGTTTCTTGCACAGCATGACCCACTTCCAAAATGCTCAGGGGGGAAAATAAACTGATCAGGTGAAAACCTCCAGCAGCACTTCAGAGGATGCAGAAAACCTTTAATGGCTGAGTGACGCATTTCAGCTTGTGAGCTGCTATTACAGGTGCTGCTGGAGTTTTGACCTCTTCAGAGCGGAGACACGTGTGGCCGACTGTGGCTGCAGTAGACACTGTCCATTTTTAAAACACTCCGTTTCAGTTCAGCTCTTCGTAGGTTATAACTTTGTCTTCTCTGCAGTTGCCTGACAGACCGGCAGCAGCACAAGTAACAGTGACCCACAGACTGTTTGGACAGGATATTCTGTACACTTCCTCCATCGACAACAAGCACCATCTGCAATCCTCTTCCCCAGCTCGAGCTCAAAACAAGCATTAGACTTTAGGTGTGCCCATCCAGGCCACGATCAATCAGGGCTTTTGTGCATCTGAACAGCAGAAGATAACAGACCTTTATTTGGAGCAGCTTTCATTCTTTACTCCCTCTGTTTGATCATGTGATCATCTAACAAAGGCTCACATTTTCAGTGTTTTGTTTTTTGTTTTTTTAAACAAGTTACTGCCTTCAGCTGATTACTTCACTGCAGCTACAGACACAAATCAGATGGATGAAAAAGGTTGTTTGAGGATCTGCACACAGTCGCTTTATTTATAAGTGGAGCCACGCACACACACTGTTCTGAAGGCATCAAAGCTTCACTTATCCAACGGGAAGTTTGACAAAACATGACATGAACAAGTTAACTGAACACAAAAAAAACCTGCTCAGGCAGGTTTACTTTTTTAGGATGAGCTACCTGAGCGTTCGGCTCACAGGAATTACTTACACATACAATCATCTCATAGAGCTGATCGATTTTGGCAATGATCACAATTATTTAAAACAATAAGTCAGGGTGCAGTATTTTTTTGTTTTATTTCCTGACTCCCTGACTTCACGTAAACTCAGGCTGAGCTAACCTGATACTCACACAGATCCAGCCCACTTTAGTTTTTTTTTTTTAAATTGAATACTGGTTTTCATTTAAGGAAATAGGACATCCAACTTTGTGCAGTCAGTAAGTTTAAGGATTTGAATTTAATGCTGTCTGAACCAGAGACAGAGAGGAGAAATAACAGCAACACAACATTTTCTGTTTTACAAACCCAGAGTCGCCTGTACCAGCAGCTACAACCATATGTGCACTTTTATATGCAACACACATACATGTTATAGTTTTTGCTGTTGTTTTACACTTTCTGTGCAATAGTGTACGGCTGCTGATGCACTTGCACCCTCATTAGTTATTCTTTTATAACAATTATCCTCCAGTATTTTAAAATGTCTTATCATTTTAAATGTTTTTCAGTGTCACACCCATTATGAGGTTAGCATAGCTGCAATTTCATTGTGTTTGCACGATGGGAGGAAAAGTCCTGAGTCTACAACACTGACTCATTATGGAGTGAAGAGCCTCGTGGGCTGTAATAAAGAACGACAGGCTGAGGTGGACAAAACACGGTAATGTTTAGTAAAGAGGGCATTAGATTCTTATACTTCTGATTTCAGCCCATAAACATCCATTAAAATATGCCTGATTTCCCATCATGCTGTTCTGTAGCTGTGCTGTGTCTTTGTACTTACCTTGTAGTGTTGGTGCATGCAGTAGCGACACACTTTGGTCTTGATGTCTTTGCTGACATGTTTGGGGGATGGCAGGAAACCGCATTTAGGCTGAAAACACAAAACATCAGCTGAGTGAGACACACACACACTCATACTCACCCTCATGTGACTTTAGTCCGATCACTGTGTGTGTGACAATGGTGTAGGTCCTGGCCACGAGATTTCTATCTCTATGGCTGAACATCACTTTTATTACTGAGCTTCAACTGAAATTAGCAACAAGCCAAATCTAATTAACTTTATTATTTTCAGGAAGAAATATCTGGAGGGGCATTAGTTACAACAATGAATGTGAGTTACTTAACAAAAGTCTGTGTGTTGCCCTGTTATTCCTGGACGTGTAATAAACAAAATATCTAAAAAAAAATTTCAATACAAGTTTCGATAACAATCCAGGATTTTCTTTTGCAGTAAAGGACAAAAAGTCTTTGATGTGTGACCTTTATTGTTTGAAGGAAAACCCCTGACCATGTACAAAGGGACAAAGTTGGCTTAGACTACCACAAGTGTGTGTGTGTTTACCTTGATCTCGATGCAGAGTGGGGGAGTGTGTGTCGGCTGGTGGAGGGCTGGAGACGTCAGGTTGGGCAGACAGAGCGCACACCCACTGTAGATGTCCATCACCTTATCACAGCGCCACGCTGACGCACACAGAAAGACAGAGCGTTTGTTTAATCTGACTGCAGCTCATTGTGCCGTTACAGAACTATCACAAGTCGAAACAAGCGATAAACATTTCAGTCTCACCTGGACGTTGATGTTGGACTTTGATTGATAACTGCCGCACAAACTCGAGAGGCAGTTTAACCACTTCCTGTATGGAAAATAAAGCATCTGTTAAGCTGCTGCTACATCTATGTAAAGCACCGCTAACTCCAGGCAGCGTGCTTATCTTAAGTTCATCATGGAAGCGATAGCATGCAGAGCAGGCTGGTGTCACAAAGTCAATGTCGAACATTTACATAAACACCCTAATAAAAATCCTTCCTATAATACACAACCGAAGAATCATACAAAACACTGCTTTAACACGTTTTAATAACCATCACATGTGAGGAACGGCATGAATTTGGACACTACTATAAATGTAAGAAGGACAAATTCCGCTTTTACATGTAAAGTTAAGCATCATCTGACCAGGGAATGATGCTCATGTGGTATAAGCCCTCCAGACCTCAACACTGACTCATTGTTTTTTGGAATATCTGATTTATGATGCAGCTCAGAATAGATCAAACTGGTGAAACAGTCCACTTAAAAATAAATAAAGCAACTTTAGGCATCGTTTCTGTTTGGAAAATTGTTATCTCATGATTTCTGAATGTTCTGATAGTCTTGTCTTTAGGAGTCACAGTTGCTTTAGCAAAGATATGTCATTGCTATAAATGAGACATCTACTTCTTTACAGTGTTGCATTACTTTATATTTAGGAAGTATTAAAGGCCACTAATAACTGAAATTGCCGCTCTCATGAATGGCTAAAGTGACTTCACAAACACAGATGCGAGCCGTGCTTTGGTCTCTCTTCTGAACAAAAGATGGATCAAGTCTCATTAATTAGTAATGTCTCCACAAGTGTAAAATGGTAATCACTAGGGCTGCTCAATAAATCGAATTTTAATCACGATTACGATCTGGGCTTTCAACGATCATTAAAAATGACTGAGCCGATTATTAGCCCCTCCCTCGTGCTTTACTCTCGCGCTGCTCCGTGTGGCAAATCGAGCGCACCTCTCTGCATTTCGAACACGTGTCACAACAATTAAGAGGACCCGAGGGAAGCTCGGAAAGCTAAGCAGAAGTTATTTGGAGAGGAGAGTGACTGCCGTTGGTTGAAAAGAGAGGTAAAAAAAAAAACAATTCAGTGGTGTGGAAACATTATGGGTTCGCGGAGTCAGACGTGGATCAAGTAGACACAGTGTGTAAACTTTGCTATGGTGTCGTAGCTGCACCACAGAGCAACACTGCAAAGTTCACTAAACATAGATGTTTACATTTTTCATTTATTTCTTATATTGCAAACATTTGCACTGTTATCAGTATTTGCACACTATTTTATATTATTTTTTAAAGTCATTATTCAATACATTGTTATTGTTAACCCTTTAAAGCCGGTCAGAGCAGCACGCTCCGTTTTGTGTAACTATTTTTAAATCCCTGTAGAACCTGAACCGCATGTAAGCTAGCGCAATAATTTTTTGCATATGAAACCAGAGGAGTTGTACTTACATCTTATGCCATCAGCTTGTCCTCGGTCACGGTTTCCTTCCACATAAAGCTTTGCAAAAATTGCATAAAAAGCGCTTGCAGGAACAAAAACATAATATTCCAGAAACACGCTTTGCCGATCCGATCAGCTGTTCGTAACACTTCCCACAGTGAAACAGACGTCAGCGCGAACTATCGCATGTCCGCCATTTCCTGCCCGAAACCGGAAGTGACGTCATTTTCGCGGAAAATGTAGTTTTTTACTTGTAGGCCTTAAAAGCCTATACTGGTGTTTTTATAAGTCATGTTTGACTTATCTCTGAATAGTTTCTGGGATGCTTAGAACTCGAATTGCACTGCTGGAAATAGTTTATTTTGATGCACTGCTGTTTTCTTTGCAAATTTGCATCATAGGATTGTTTTTTTGTTTTTCCTGCAGTATATAAAAATTGCTGTATCTCCAAAATAAAACTATGAAGACACTCAAAATAAATTTCCTGTTGTTGTAAACTATTTTTTGCAACTTTTTTGTATTTAAAGTTTTGAGGGATAAACCTCTTAAATTTCTCCAAGTAGAAATATATGTAAAAAAACAAAAACGATTTTCAATTTTTTTGTAGTTTATTGCACTTTTTTGCAATTAATGTAGTTACTATGGACTTAATGCATACATATTATTAAAATATGGGCTATAACAGTTGTATTGATGTATAGCAACTTGAAATGCTCCCACAAATGGCACTACAACATGTAAAAAAATAATATAAGCTCTGGCGGACTTGGTTCTATGGTAGGTCTTAAAGGGTTAAATAAATATCGTCAAATAATCGAGATCTCAATTTCAGTGAAAATAATCGTGATTATCATTTTTGCCATAATCGAGCAGCCCTTAGTAATCACTACAACATATCACCTGACACCCGCAGCACACTCCAAACATCTCAAGATAAATAATTCTGGTAGAGCACCTGACACGGGTCTAGGGATGGTCATGATTTTCAAAGAGTCGTTCAGGAATAACAATGCATTCACATTTTCATTAACACACTCCAATTTACAAACACGGGCAAGCAAACCAGTGCTATAACTTATAGGATATATATAATGAATCACAAGAGCCTGGATCACAGAGGGGATGCTCTAACATTGAGCCAGCAGATGAAGACAAGCGGCAGCACAGCCATACTGGATGTTCTCCTCTACAGTTTATTACAACAAGTAAAAGGAAAAAGGCAACATATTTTAACGAGGACATCCACTGATCCTTAAACCCTCTGTGATCCAGGTCCTTCGCCATCCTCAGTGATGCAAAGCTAAATCAGTCCAGTGTTCCTGAAAGTAAAAGACTTGACCCCATCTTACCCCGCTGTGGATAAACTTCTCCCCAAGCAGGCTGCTCATCACGTTGGAGCTAAAGTCAACAATGTTCTGGATCTGCCTGTAAGCCTGCTCTGCTGTCTGGGGGACAAACACACACAAAGACAGGCAGGTAATATCATGTTAGTTAAAGCCAAATTTTAACAGCAAAGGAGAGATATTTAATCGCTTCTCGAGTGTCACGGAATCAGATATGATTATAATGAATCTGTTAGTCAAACAGATGTGCTGCTGTTCAGTGATGTATTTTCCTCCAACTTGCACAAACAGCCGGGAAGTGTGAGCTTTGGAGGATTAAAGGTAGAACTCTCTACAAAACCAGCCACACCCATGATAAACACTGACTGAAGGTGCAGCATGAAATGGAGAAGTCTGTGCAGAAAAATCATCTGCCAACAGGAACAGGATGCAAGATTTAAAAGAAAAGAAATTTTGTTAAATTACCAGCTAGTTAATCAGCTTTGAGCTCATGCATATGAAAGAGGAAGTTTCTAAAATAAACCAAGTCTGTGATTAAAAAAAGAAAAATAAATTAACTCCAGAACCAGCAGTAATGTGAAACCTGAACTCCACCATGGTGATGGCTCTGGGATTTTAACACCCATATACCTACATGTTTTCATACAGTTTTTTTTTCCTAAAAGCTAAATGGTTCAGTTAGCAGAAAACCACCATACTAAAAAATAAATGCATGAACTAGTTTTTCAGAATTGTGGTAAATCGGGAAGTGTTATCCAGGTTGTGGTGAGCAAGGGGTGGATCTAACTGTGACAGGGCACGCTCATATGGTAGCACCTTAAAAAATGAACACCCTTCTGTTTATTAACAAGACTTAAAGCTGACATATGAGTTAAAGGAATGCAAGCTTAAGCTGCTTGTACCATTTATTTTACTTTTTGAACCCTATTTAACGTCTGTGGTATGACTCATGATTTAGACGTTGGAAACAGTCGGTCCTGACATTCTATCTGATGGAATGAAATAAATTTGAATTTTGGGCATGGATGTGGGGCCACACTTTGGTTTGCATTTGAATCTTCAATCTGACAAAGATGTAAACAACTACAATCTCCATGTAAATGAAGGCTGTGAGGCAGACTTCAGTCAGCCAACAGGTGCGAACAGCCTCATTTACTCTGTCCATCAGCTGGCAGCTCATGACCAGCTTCGTGAGCTGACATTAAAAAAAAAAAAAAAAAAAAAACAGACACTGGTTAGTTTGATATTTTTCAGACAAGAACCCCCAAGAAAAGCAGAAAATGTGAAATACTATTTCTACTTAAAAAAAACAAAAAAACAACTTGAGGTGAACTGTTCACCGCATGCAGTTTAAGTAGAGCTGAGTCAAGTTAAGCCCGATGTGCAAAAAGCCGTGTTGATAACAGTAAACTGTTTTCATTGCTTCAGGTTGTAAATTCTCTGACAGCAGATATAACATACTAAGTGCTTACACCAGTGTGCCAATCAGTGCTGAACTCCTTAAACTGAAGACAACAGACCCAAATTTCATCCATTGCCCTCCCTCAAATCAGTTTCAGGAATTAACAAAGGTCAGAATTATCAGCAGTAGATTGTGATCCATGCCAACTTTTTTTTATATATTGATTTCCCCAGAAATGGCTGCACTGATCCATCATCAACTCAATGGTGGGAGGGGGAAGGGGGGTATTTCTGTCTGCTAGTTTGACATTACACTGGAGATTCATGCGACAGTGTTTGCAGAGACGCTTGTTTGTCTCCAATTATTTTCCACTTGGTGTTTGCGCTCGTCAGTGAAAAATGACACTGTTGCAAAGAAGACATAACGAAGACTCAAGGAGACGCTGATGAGACATTTTACACATACAAACCAGACTGAACAAGTTAGTACAGCTTTAAAGGGCATGCATAAAGTCAAGAACCAGTAGATTGTTAGTAGAGCTGGGTGATAGAACGATAACGATATGTATCGCGATATAATTTTTACTCGATAGAAAAATTAAACTATCGCGACAGACCTCGCTGCTCTTGTCTTTAAAAAAAAAAAAAAAAAAAAAAAAAAAGAACAGCCAATCCAAATTACGTAGCGCAGAGCCGAACCAATCACAGCCGCAGCGTCACGTCACGTGACTTGTTACATACAGCACAAGTGCCAAGCCACATGTGTATTTGTTTGGGAAGCAGCCAGCCACCGTACCGCCCGGGTAATGGAGGAAATGAGTGTGCCGACTAGAAAAATCAACCGAGCGTGACCGAAGAGAAAACAGATGATGGTTCCAATGCCGGAGAGATTGTCGAACGGAAGAGCCATAGAAGTTCCGTAGTGTGAAGGTATTTCGGCTATTTCAAGTCTGACAAAAACAGAGTAGCGTGCACTGTAAATTGTGCCGAAAGCAAGTCTGGAAATACAATAAACTGGTGCATGCGCTACGTCCACACGTACCCGGGTATTTTTGAAAACGCAGATTTTTCTATGCGTTTGCACCTTTCGTCCACACGTAAACGGCGTTTTTGGTCACTGAAAACGAAGATTTTTGAAAACTCCGTTTTTGCATTTACGTGTGGACTAGAAAAACGGAGAAAACGCAGCGTCAAAGGTGTGCGCATTTTTTGACGTCACACTGTGCGCCACGTTATTGTTTCGGTGAAATGAATTTCTACAATACTGTTACTGTTAATTCTACTCTCTGCAGTGTTTAAATGCTTACATATACACACAGTTACTGTCCCTCCACACATACGACTCGGTTCTGCTTCTATGCCCCAGCTTTGTTTACTTTTTCCCACCGAGGCTTCTAGACTTCTGATTGGCCAACATTTCTGCACGGTTAGGAATCTAGCGCCACCTGCTGCTTTGGCATGTTCATAGCAGCGTTTTCCTTCATTTCTGCCTTTATGTGTGGACGGGATTATTTTTTAAAACGAAAACGGAAAATCTCCGTTTTCAAAAATACCCGTGTACGTGTGGACGTAGCCTCAGTCTCTGACTGGAAGCGCTAATTCGTCATTCGGCTTTTGTCAGACTAAAGTAACTGTTAAAACTGTTTGAAAAGCTAAGCTATACAACAAGGAGAGATTGAGAATTTCCTTTTAGTTCTCAGTTTATTTGATATTGACAAAAGTTAGTCAGTTTTGTCTGTTCTTCTGTAAAACAAACTAAGATTTATTTTTAGAATTAATATTTTGTTTCTAAGTGGAATTGACAATTTAGTCTGTTTCGTTTGTTCTATTTTGAAACTTAAACGCTTTAGCGGCTGCCTTTTGTGTAGTTTGCAATATTTGCCTTTATTTATCTGAAAAAGTCTCATGTTCCTTAAGTACATCTACCCTGTTGAACTTATTATGGGAAATAAATATTTAAATAAAAACAAGCTGCTGATTATTTCACATTTTACTTGTGAGCAACTGCACATTTAAATTTTACAAATATAGTTATTTGGCATATATCGTGATATATATCGTTATCGCCTGAAATGAAAAAAACATATCGTGATATGAAAAAATCTTATATCGCCCAGCTCTAATTGTTAGGATTTAACAACATTTTAGCTGTTGCACTAACATAAATGCACTTATGTTCAATAGTTAGAGACTAAATAAATCCCTCACTGTATGCAATGGAAGCTCGGTGAAAGGTATAGCCTACATTCTTTCTCTTAATGCAAGGGGAAGGAAATAAACTCAACAGTGTGCATGTTTCTCTGGCTCTCAAAAGTGTAGGCTCAGGCCCTCCACCCCTTCAGCGAACAGACTCATTACCTGTGGAGGGTTTTCAGAGTCCTCTGCTGGATACTTGAGTAGGCGCAGAACTCTGGGATGCTGCAAAAGACATCAAAAGCATCAATTAAGCTCATTTTTGGAAAGAAGACAAAAAAAAAAGAGGACACATCTGGACACACATCTGAAATACTGAACCCAGTCAGTGCAAGTCACAAGAGTCCTTAAGAACATGAAGTCCAGAGTGTGTTTGGGAACAAAACACACGAGTGGTATAATTAATGCTAAAGACTGCAGTAGGCATCCAAATATCTGCATCGGAGTGCAAGTTCAGACTTGTGTTACTGTGCACAAAAACATTCAAACACTCAGTCAGTGAAGCCCATTCACACGCCTTAGCGCGCTGACAGAAAACACAGAGACTTTAGTTCTGATCGTCAACATGCTCACAAAAAAAAAAAAGTTACAGAGCAGACAATGCATTTTACTGCACTGTGAATGTTGTACAAACTAAATAATAATAAAAACAATATATAAAATAATCAACATTTATTGTTTATTATTAATTAAATATTATATTTTTAATGAAGTAATTCAATAACCAGGGTCAAATTTTTTTTTTCAAGTTAAATGTCCACAGATGCAATGTTATTTAGACTTTTCACACGTTGTAACACCGCCCTGAACATTTTCTAGAAATTGCCCACGACACCCACATGTTCACTCCCTGCACACTCTACCCACACGTTACCAGCGCTTAAACCACATAGAGCCTTTTCAGTAGTGTAAATGCACCTGCTGTGTGCTACACGTGGGAAAGAAATTAATAAAAGCAACTGGCCTCGTAGTTCACGTGTAAAAAAAACATCTAATGTTAGAACTGCTTTGAATAAAAGGATGTAGCTTTGCATGTAAAGCCTGCTTCTTTTATCTAACTCCTTTGAAGCCACGCTAATAAGTCTGAGCTCTTTGTTTTCCAAACACAGTCCCAGAACAGTTTGTGAAACGATCATAACTTAATTTACTCAGTTGTGTTAGCGGAGAGAAATTTCCCACCCTTACTTAGATGTAGTGATTTTGGGCCCATTTTCCATTTTTAGAGAGTTAAATAAAACAGAATTATATTTAGAGGGGAGCAGGACTTGGATGTGTGGATCATTGGGGCGCTTACACCACAGTCAAAGGACAGGGGCAATCGTGGCTCAAGAGTTAGGAGTTCGCCTTGTAATCGGAAGGTTGCCGGTTCGAACCCCGGCTTGGACATTCTCGGTCGTTGTGCAAGACACTTAACCCGTTGCCTACTGGTGGTGGTCAGTGTTCGGCAGCCTCGCCTCTGTCAGTGTGAAGGGGTGGATGACTGAATGTGTAAAGCGCTTGGGGACTAGTAAAGCGCTATATAAATATAGGCCATTTACCATTTACACATATGCACACACTTCATTATTAATTCACTATCACTGATTTACATGGGCCCTTTTCAGTTCAGTTTTCTTAGTTCCAACAATGACGCATGCCCGACACACACACACAAAAATATTTTATCTCAAAAACTCATGAAAAGCACGTCCTATTACAGATTACTTTAATTTTTTATATTTCATTTGACTTCTTGTTTTCAGTTTAGTTTTAGTTCGTTTCCAGAGTGGGTTTCCTCCTTTCAGTTTACTTTTTATCAGTTTGTGTGTTAGTTGAGGTAAACATCAGCACAGCTTGACAATAATACTGAACAACAGCAGTTCCCTCACAGTCTTATAGATCAAAACTCCATACATCAATGTCCATCACAGCCTCATCAGGCAAGCTGTGATTTTAACAGACTAAAAGAAATTTAAAAAAAAGATTAAAACTACGTAGATTTCTGCTTTTATTTTGAGTTAAGTAGTTTTCCACTTCAGTCAGGTTTGGTCCAAACTTTGACTGGGTCTGCAGCACCGTGACATTTTATTTATTTATTTTTAAAGATATGGTCATATGTAACTGATTCATTTATCTTCAGCACATGGCTTCTTCTAAGCAGTAAGGGTATGCTTAGTTTTTCAGTCCTGTTAAAACTTGTCCACATGACTGAAAATGCCAAGAACAAATCCAGCTGGTTTTGTCTGGTCCCATACTGTCATTACAGAAACTAGGAGTCCTGTGTCTGTGAGGTTTATAATTCAGATCACTTAATACTCTTTGCAGAAGTTCAGGCAAATCCAAAGTGTGTCTGCCTCTTACCAATATAAGCAAACGGTTATGCTGTGTCATTCCTGCCTAAGTACATTTTACTCACTCATGCTCAATGGCGGGCCATCATGCAAGAAAAGAGCATGATGAAAACTCTTGAGATATACATCTGTGCCACTACAGGCAACAATCTTTTTTGTTATTATCATCACTGTAATCTAATTAATGACTGGGACTGACTGGTGGTAGTTTGGGATATGCAAATTGTAAAATCTTATTTCCCAAAGGTTCGCTACAGCAGATGAGCTAGCACAGTTTTTATACCAGATGCACTTCTTATATAACCTCATTTTTCCGAGCTCAGGAACGGCACTAGGAGTGGACTAGCTTGTGGCTCGCTAAGGCTAGGTTTGTGTGTCCTCCAGGTCATGAAGAAAAGGGTTTTTGCATATTAGGTGAATCTGTTAACCACTATGCCACAGACCAATTTTAAAAATTACAACCAGCTAATGTTTTACCATTTTGTTTTTTGTTTTTCTCTTATCTTCTTTGAAAAATATAACAACTTTTCACTCATCATGGCAATATATTTGAGTATTCAACATAAAAATGATGTGACGATCGATAGATGCCACAGTTCAAAATAACAAGGTCTATGTAGATAAAAGTGCACAAAAAGCTGTGAATAATAACTGTCATCCCTTATACGGTCATGTCAGACACAGAGCTCTAGCTGTGAGCACAGAAGCCCCACCATCGTGTTTCTCCACCCTTCTGTTTGTGTGGGGTAGCCAATAAGAGTAAAGGGAGAGGAGCTAAAACAACTATTTTGAGACAGTGCATGAACTGAGAGTCTGTGCCAAGGCCCCCACTGAAGATAAAATAAGGACCGTTTTAAACTGTGAATCATGCAAAACTGCTCTAGCAGAGCCCAAGTATTAAAATATTACATGATGGATATATATTGTTTAACTTCTTTGATCTGCCAAGTATTTAAATTCCTGGATCAACCAAAAACAGGCACCTTCACCTGGTTTTGGTGTAAAAGTTTAAAAAATATTTCTCAGATTTTATCCATATGACTTAGGGCTGTTCGATATAACGATATATATCGGATGACAATATAAAAACATCTATCGTTTCATTTTACGCTATCGTTTGTTTCGTGGTGTCGCAAAATAAACTGTTTACGGCAATATTTTTCATCGTTTTGATGGTCACTGTAGTGGCTATATTAATTTCTTAAAGTTCTTTCTCTTTTATTTTATATAACCACACTATCGAGGGACAAGCGCCCGTTTTTATGCGTTGTGGTTAGCAACAACGACGGTAACACCATCGCTGTCCGTTTGTTTATGTTCCACATAAACCTTTCACAATAAAGCTCAAGATCCTGTTGAGACTTTTCAAAATAAACGGAATCACGTGAAAGAGCAGACTATTTACGGATGAGAATTTAAAAAAAGAGCCGCCAGGTGCTAAAAAAAAGAAAAACCTTAGACACAAACGTTAGAACAGGCTTTTCCCCGCAGCACGCCGTGTAATAAATACTCACAAAGAAAACGGCGGCTGTTACAACTTATGTCTAAAAATGTATAGTTTCATGCATTGGTTAAAACACTGGAGTCCAGCTACATGAAGCGCAGCTGGAAACACTTCCCGCAAGACGAGCTGCCCGAGATTCACAGAATTTACAGAAAATGTTACATTTTTGTGATTTATATCGTTATCAGGACGATAGAATTCTTATATCGGGATATGAGATTTTGGTCATATAGCACAGCCCTAATATGACTAATTTCTGTCTATTGCTATTTCTCTTTAAGCAACTCTCTGTGGAATTACCATTTGGTGACACTTGACTGTAGGAATGCAAAACTCATCATGTGGAAAGCATATTTATGCAGTGAACATCTCTAATTTAGATTTATCTTTCAAATTTGTTTGAGCCCACATCCATCCTATTACTTAATGCTTATCCAACAGAGGGTCACAGGAGGGCTGAAGCCCATCCCAGCTGTCACAGGGTGAGAGGCAACAAACACAAGCATATCTTTGGATTGTAGGAGGAACTAGACCGAGAAGAGGAAACACATACATGAAAATGAAAACATGCAAAGGCCCCAGGTGCCCTGGAGATTCAAACCAGGAAACTTAATGCTATGAGACAACAACCACCGTACCCAACCTGTTTCAACCAACATCTCTGACAAAAATGGGGTATAAACAGAAATCAAAGGTAATATCTAAAAATTGAGAATAAAACCAGCATTTCCCTCTTTAAATTAAAAGACATGTCTGAGAAATATTGCATATTTATTTCTATACATCTAATAATGATCTACTATACATCTAATTTACACCAAAGGAAAATCATCAGAACTACAATAACATCTACAGATATTCAAATTAATACTTCTGGTTAAATGCCACAAAATGTTCACTTGAAAGTTTTGCTTATTTTACATCTGAAGTGCAAAACAAAGCTTCAGTTTAGAACTTTTAATTTCTTCATTGAGTTTAAAGAATCTGTAATGGTGGGGGAAAAGTCACTGGATTTCATAAGGTGGAGCACCCAGCGCCAGCTTAGGCATTACACACAGGCCTCAGGGGTCTGGGGCAATAAACTCACTGTGCCCCCTCAGCTGTCTGTGCCAACACATTTATCAGCTAATTTACTATACTAAATTTAACATTAATTTATATACTTTGGTACTGAATAACTTAAACACCCATATCCCCAATAAGTTAATAATTAAACTGAGCTCACACTGTATTATGTTTGCAGTCGTTTAGTGCTTCTGAAGCCATCATGCCACACAGCATGACTGAGGAGGACTTTGGGAAGTTCTCATGTCTCTTTGAAGCTGAAAATAGTTTCTGCAGCTAGTTTAAAGCTAAAAAGTTGCAAAACAAATGGAAAAGTGTTGAGGATACTGTGTGCTCACAGTCTGCTCTAGTATGTTGTGAGTTCATTGATCTAATTCTGCACCTGGAGAAAATGTTTCTCTTGTCTGCTTTTATTATTTATGTTTTTATTAACTGTATAATGCGTATATAATTTCAATACATTTTTTTGCAGGGTGAATAGCAAAGTTACTTGAGCCCAGAACCTCCTGTCAAAGTTGGTTGCCCGTTTAGCTAATATGATGTACAGTCGATCCTACCCAACCCTAAATTTGCAAAACAAAAACCTGAACAACAAGTGCCAGCGGTTTTATTAGGAAGCCCTCAATGTAAATGTTTTGTCTAGGAGGTTACAACATCCTCGATCTGATTCATGCTTACAAGATTTCACAGATTGCTCAACGGCAACACGATCAGGTCAGTGCCTTCAAGGAGACTTCCCCGGGGAGGGGAGGGGGGTGAAGGCACGTCAGTGAACGCTCCACTCTGTCCAGGTGAGTAAGGACGGATTAACCTGTGTGGAAGTGACCTAAGCAGACACTGCGTCGAGCAGCAATCCAGAAAAGTATCTCTCTTCTCTGCGTATCTCTCCTTCCAGCTGCTGGAAGGAAAGATGGGAGAGATGCTAACGGCTAAATTAGCTCCCGAGCACCCCGAGGATTTTACATTTTAACTACAATCGCCAATCAGTCAACCACACACTGTGTCCGGGCATTCTTCTATACGTAGTTTGTAAGCTTTAGCCTCGCTGCTGTTTGACAGTTTTTCACTGACTGCCTCAACAACTAGCTGGTGCTAGCTAGCAAGCCGGCTCAGCTAGCAAACACAGGCTAACGATGTACCGAAAATAAACAAAATCCTACAAGGTGACATTTCGCCTGCCCTTATCATTTTTCTCCAAACAAACTTTCTGGTAGAAACAATCCCGACCCGAGGCACATTTTGCCCACGAAAAGCACGAGGCGAAAAGGCTTTAGTAGAACCTGAAGCTAGTCTAGTGTTGTGCTAGCTGACTCACCTGTACGTGTGAGACCACCAGGCTCTTGTTTCCTTCTCCGTGGTACTTCCAGTCGTTTTCGTCCATTTTGTCCAGTTCCATTACACCAGAGACCAGCAAGTGCGCTCCCGTCAACGGCCAGAAAGTGACACACAACGACACGGCAACATACAAGAACTGTAGATCCACTACTGACTGCAAGCAGTAATTTAAGGAGACTACAACACAACCGACGGACTACCCTTGCTGCTGCCCGGCCCGGCGACTTTGTCACCGCCCACATTACCACTTCCGGTCTGACTTCAAAATAAAATTCCTGATAAGAGTCAAACGCAATAATGACCGAGGAACTGATGAATGAAGAAAATGACAAAATGACAGATAAAGGAGGACGGATGGAGGACAGTTGGTGAATAAGGAAGTACAGAGGATTAGTAAAGGAGGAAGAGGATGACAACAGTTGATCCAAGTAACCATATCTGTGGTGGTATGGAGATGTCTGAAAGAGTGGGCAGTGGAGTTTTTGACCAGTGTTTAACACAGTATTAGAGAGTAAGACGATGCCTGTGGAATAGAGAAGTATTCTGGTCTTCAAATATACTCTCTTTGTTTTATAAAGTTTTCCTAAAGCAAAAAAAAAAAAAAGTTGAGTTACATGCTTTTATTTGTAGCTTTCTTCAGTTTTTATTCTTGCTAATTTTGCCCAACTTCACTTTCTTTACGCACATTGACAAGCCGCTCCCTGTTGGCTGTACTCCCATGTCCCGCCTGTTCCACTGTGATTGGTCAGAGGGTTGGACAGATGAGCTCAAGGACTGTAAAGACGCCAGTGTTGTTTCTGACAACATTACACGTGAAATAGAGGATAAGAAATGGAAAAACACTGTAAATCGTGTGATTCATCAGTAGTACCTGCATGTATCTCAGAAAAGGTTTTCAAATTTAAAATGCATTTCAGTGTTAAGCAGTGCATTAGCAATGAATACATTTATTTGACATACAATTTGAAATTAAGCATCAGAAATTATTTTTACCTCCATCAAGACAGCTACTTGTTTAGTTTGTCTTTTTATCTTCTGATAAGGAGGTTATGTTTCTGGTAGTGTGTGTGTGTTCATTCTGATTGTAAACTTTGTAGGAATATTAGAGTGGGGTCACCTTAATAATACATTTAAATTTGGCTTAACATCCACCAAAGTCTTTGAGGTCAGCTTAATGATTTATTGGTTGAAAACTGACAACAAGCCCTATAACATTGCCCTCTGACCTCTTCTTCAAGTTCAATACATTGATCTGAAGGTCAAAGTGATAATACTGACACCAAAAGGCATTATATCTTTAAAGAACATATTCTCAAGAGAATAAGGTGCCTAGTTAGAAAAGCACTGTAATATAAAATGACATAGCTGAAGTTCAATTTATTCTTGTTCAATTACTTACAAACACATGTTTGTAAGTAATTAAAGTGTTTAATTAAATTTAATTAAAGTGTTTCTTTAATTAAAGTAAACATTTGTCGTGGTACTCTTATCTGATTTTTACTGCACTACAAACTTCGTAAAGTATGTTTAGAAAAAGAACAAATTTAAAAATATATATATATAAAAAAAATACAATACCCTTCCTTTAAAAGTAAACACTGGCAGTCATAGCTAATGTTAGTAACACTTAATTTCTGTTTATTATGGTGTTACTTATTCTGACTTTGTGCCATACCTTCTTGGAAAAGATATCAACCTTCAGCTCCAGCAACCATCACGAAAAAATGACCTTTGATTTGCTGACAGTCAAAAAAAAGCAAATATGACACTCTACAGTCTTTGTCCAGTCGTCCTGTCCTCAACCCCCAACCAGTCGCAGCAGATGGCTCCTCCCTGAGACTGATTCTCCTGGAGGTTTTTTCCTGTTAAAAGAAAGTTTGTCATTCCCACTGTCACCAAAGCATTTGTTAAAAGATGGTCATCTGATTGTTGGGGCGTTCTCTTTTTTCTTTGTATTATTGTAGGATCTTTACTTTACAATATAAAGCACCTTGAGCCAACTGTTGTTGTCATTTGGCACTATATAAATAAAACTGAACTTGAAACAGACTGATTGTGTTTTTTGTTATTTGCTGTCATACATACACACACACACAGACAGATGCTGTTATTATTGTATATACTCAGATAAAACGTGCAGAAGTTTAAAATTATGAGGTCTGTGTAGGATGAAAGTGAGGATAAACCTGCGAATAAAAAGCTGAAACATCAAACTGTTTTTTCTGCTCTTGGCTCTGAAATGTTGTCCCTTATATGGAATGAAGGGCTGCACCCAGGCCCTAAGGAAAAATAGGAATTATTTTAAACTGTGAATCATGCAAGGATAGTTTAGTAGAGCCCAAGAATGAAAATATAGAAGTAATCCCTCAGAAGTAATTTACCTTTTCAGTGAATGAGCATCTGAATCCAGGAAGGAAGGAAGGAATTATAACCATTGCATGTTATGGTAAAATCAAACAAAGAAGTATACTCTTGGTATCAATATGAATTAATATTGTGCATCTGGAAAAAATATTTAAAAAAAATAAATCCAGATCCAGACAGGAAAGACACAAGATCTCTAATCACACCAGTTTTGATTGTCACGAGCGTGAATTTGCACACATATTTAAAAAAAAAAAAAGTCTTTAGTTTGTTTTTTACATATTTTCAGATACAGGTGTCAGGTTTTTATTATGCTGCACAGAATTTTCATTTATGATATTTTCTAATCCCACGACTGACAAAAAGCAACACGGATAAAAGAAATTAAAGTATTTTTTTCTTACCAAGTTCCACATAAATTTACTTTTTCTGCTCAGTTGAAAACATTGTATTTCGGTGATTCAATTCAACAGTTTATGTAACACCGCATCAACTGTTACAGGTGTTACCGTAAAGCCAGCAAGTTTTTAATCCTCAAACACTTTCAAGCAAGGTAGTGCAGTTCAGGGTGTTTCCCAGATGACTCACCACCTGAGAAATGTTTATTTTAGACTTTAAATGTAATTTTATTTGTACTGTTTTCATTCACTGCTGCCAATTTTAAATAAACCAGTTTCTTCGAACGAGAACAATAGTACTTTTTTTTTTTATATTGTTAAGAAACTCCTTCATAAGGCCGTGATCTACCAGTGGACACGTGACTGTCTTGGTAAAATCATCTCCTCTTTAAAATTTATTGAAGAAAATGTTTAAGGGGCTGAGGAGGACCTCCACTTTCAACTGCCGCACAATCCACAAAGTGCCAGATGCCTCCCGCTCATCCTACAGGTGGTGGGCCCACAGGATGAACCCACATAGATTGAATGGCTTAAGACTACAGTGCTTACCTTCCAGGTAAGGTGTTTGGGCCATGTCCTACTGGGAGGACCCAGGAAACAATGGAGGGATCATGTCTTTTAGCTGGATCAGCTGAATCATCTTTGCTTAGACTGTTGCAACACAGATCCGGCTGTTCACCAAACATGTCGGCATGTTTTGTACATCTAAAATTTTTGTTATTGGCTGACAGATACTAAACCCATGAAAACCTTCATCTGCCTCAGCCTCCAATCCTCAGTAAGGAGCTATTCAAAACAAGCCAGAAGCTCAGAGTTGAAATTAAAGTCAAAGTTCAAATCATTATTTATAAATCAGAATGTTTTAATACGTATAAAAACGACAAGCAAGACAACGCACACACTATTAGGACACAGACGTTCTATACATGATGAAATCCTACGGAGGACGTGTGACCTCTACTGTGACGACTCGGCCGCTTCACGGGTCCGGTCAGAGAACCGGGCTGACGAGTTTTCCTGTGACGCTGGTCTCTGGTTGGGGGAGAAAACAGTCTGCACACCAAACAGGCTGCTCATTCACAGTCTGTACACCACTTCAGGATTTGTGTCTCTTTCTTTTGAGCCTGCTGATGTTCCTCCACAAACACACAGAGCTGGATCAGTCCATCCCTCCGATGTCGTGCTGTTTGTACGACGGTGTGACCAGACTCCCTGCAGAAGAAAAAAAACTCGCCGTCAGTTACTCGAAGGTTAATCACTGTCCCGTCATTTGTAATGTGTGTGTGTGTGTCTGAGTGAGTTGTTTCTGACCACCAGCCCAGATAAATGGGGGAGGGTTGAGTCAGGAAGGGAGGAAAACTTAAAAAAAAAAAATTTGGATAAGAAGGATGCAAGACTGTGGCAACACCTGTTTAATTTTAGTTTAGTTTTATTGTAATTTACTGGTTAATATTTAATAATCAAGTTAATTATTTTCAGATATTTCGGTCATCTAAAATTTTAAGTATTTTAAATATCCCACATCTACAAACCATATATTTGTTTAGATTTAGTATTAACCAGAAGCATGGACGTAAAACACACACAAAAAAGTTCTGGCTACGATTAAATTAATACAAATTCTCAAACAACTAGTAAATACACACTGGCTGGTAGATTCACTCTTCCTCCTGTGAAAATATACGTAGTGTGGCCTGTAAGAGTGGAACTTCCTTGGATAAGTTCAGCACAATGTACAACATGTAATGACTGCTGAAACACTTCTAAAGAGAAATGTTTTCACACAGAAATTAATTTGTCACAGGTCCAGGGCTACTTTTTAACGCTTTCTGGAAGGGGTGCAAGGATTTTAATCATATGACATGTAACATCTGTTCAGGAAATGTTCCGTTTCAGTGGCTGTAAGAGTGAAAGCAAAAAGAAGGAAGCTAAATTTAAAAAAAAAAATTAAAAAAATCAGTTGAATGTGATTAAAGTCACAAACCACTAAATGTGGGGAAAGAGACCAGCGTGAATCACAGGACCTCAGCCATCACCTGCTACTCATACAAAAAAAAAAGAAAAAAGAAATGTATACCGTCATCTGGTATCTCTTTCACTCTCTCACACACAGACATACTCACACCCTCAAGATCTGAGCAGCAACACTGCAGACAAACATTTATATCACATGAAAAGCCCAAGGAGCGAGGCGGGAGTGGGAGCAGGAGGGTCAAAGGCCAAGCAGGAAGTAGACTTGTCAGCTAGCCCACAGGGAAACAAGCTACACCCATCCTATCAACGGGCACGTCAACACCCATCTGCCAACCACAGCCCAACATCAACAAATTTAAATGATGGCAGATTAGTCTGAGCGAGGCTGCAGTTAGCAGAGGTTATACCTGTGAAAAGCCACAGTCGGGGAGGAATAACAAAGATGGGGAAAAACTCAACAATCAGTCAACTTTTTCAAATATCTGTGGAAGACTGATCACAGCATTACGCTTCGG